CTGACCAGGACAGTCTTCATCTTTGTTAGAGGAAGCGCAGAATCTTTGACGAGTTTTCTTACAATTGGAATTGCAGGGTCCAAAGTCCGACCAGCTGCTCCATCCGGGCCTGCCTGCATCTAGAACAAACACGGAATGAAAAAAGGGGTGGTCCATATGGAGTAGCTTACGGATGCGGATGATGATTTCCCGCTCAGTTCTTGACATCAAGTCAAGTTTGTAATCAAGATAGTGCAATGGTGTTTCTTTGCATCCTTTACTCGCAACTTGATTTTTCCACCTGTTAAACGCCTCTGCAATTCTTCATGGATACCACTTGAAAGATACAGCCATTACTTAATGGACACTTTCTTACAGGAGAAATATAACACTATAATATTTTCTTGCACGTCGTATACTAGGCGATATATACACTGACCTCGCGCGATAGTACAGATTATTAAACTGCAATGTCCTTAGCTAACGTAACTTTCGTACTTCTAATCTAAAATTTCGCCAGGCCCGTTTGTCCTGCTTTTGTCGAACTTATTTATTCATTACAATCTATGGTTAAAAGGCCTAAGGATAATCTGTAAAGGAGTCCTAAACCTCATATGAAAACAGATCACCTATGAACTAATATAAATACACAAAAAATAGTAAACTAGAAAAACAACTAAATTTAATTAAACTATTGCGGACTACAGGATGCAGAAGTGTACTCGGTTAACAGCTGCCTTTTAAGAGGCTTCGCTTTCTGTTTCTGAGCCACTTACAACAATTTGCTTCTGATTGTACTTAAAATCACAGAACTTACTGCTGTATTCATACAAGGAATTGATTTCTTGGATATCAATCTGAGTGAAGTTATTTCTATGACCAAGTGCCCTTGCAGGGTATTTGATCGACCTCAGAGTAGGTTTTCCGTTCTTGGAGAAGCCATCCGTTCCATAATGCATGACGCTATCATAATCGTATGGAACCTTCTGTGTGTCGACTCTGCCTCTGTCGTACTTGTTAAAGTTGTGTGCCTCACCTGGTCAACGGAAGTAAGTGACAATTTTCGTCTTATTATGTGAACAAACAGCACGCTTCCAAGGGATTCTCTAACAACTTACTGCAATTAGCCAATCAGAAGACGTGTCGACTAGTGTCGTGATATCATGCGATATCAAGTCCCTGACCTGATGTGGCAACGATATCATGCCCACCTAGCCGAATGTGGGTACGATAAATACCCAATCCTTACCAGGTAATACCTAATATCAGGCTCGTTTAGTCTCGCCGTGATTATTTTAGCTCAGCTATATCTCGATCACCAAAATACGTACCATGACCCTACCAAACTCGCCTAGGTTTAAGAACAGCACGCATTCAAGGGATTCTCTGACAGGAATGCAATAACCCTAGGATAACTCTACCGAGTGAGATATTCTCCCAGAGCACGTCTACGAACTGATTTCTGTCAGGCCGCGACTGTTCGTGCCAAAATCCAATTGCGTGCATTATTTCATGCATGATTATCCCTTTGTGATTACAACCGCTGCCCAAAGAAACTTCTTGCTGGCCACCTGTCCAGAAGACTTTTCCCACACCAGACCAGCACCTAAAAAAAAAGGAAAATTACGAGTTGTGGAATAATTACAGATCTTTTTTCTTAGTTGTGTTGGATGTTTCTGCAAACAAGAATATGATTTCCCTGACAATTATTGTCTTGAGTGAGGTGATAACTTTCCATAAAGCAAAGTTATTTCAATTTAAATGGTAGCTGATGAAAAACTTTTATCATTGCTTCGTATTGGATTCGCACGCGTTCAAAACTAATTCATCGGCCAAACCCGTCAAAGAATGGTTGCCATAAAGTCAGTGAAACGTATGACTGAAATCATGAAGTACAGCTCAATTTGTAATGAAAATTTGTGGATTTTGGAAAATATCGTACGTTTCAGCAATCAAAATCAGATGAAATACATAAAATAAATAAATAAGTAAATAAATAAATAAATAAACAAATAAATAAATATTTTAATTAACCACTCCCCCAATGGGGCGTTTCAGGGCCACTGGAAACAAATGAGGAAACAAATAATAATGCATATAGACGTAACATGGTTAAAAATCCCAACTGGCAGGAGGCAGACCAGTTGGCTATTTCAGTACAAACGTGGCCCAGGAGTTGAATTAGGGTACTCCGGATTTCAAGTCTGGCGCCCTAACCACTCGGCTACGATGCCTTCACACACATGGGGAATCACTAATTGCGTCAGTATGCAAGAAATGGTTTTGACTATAAGCTAGTTCCGATAACGTGTATAATTTCTACTTCAAACGAATCCCGTTCCTAGAGTATACCCGTCTCCGGTGGCTAAAGAGAAAAAGAGGAGGAACTGAAAACGACTTTGGCGTGACTCGTGACGCTAAGCATACGTATTGGGTTTGTAAATTCTTTGTCTAGAATCGTGCCTTTTTACGTGAACTCCATGTGTAGCACCAAGACGGTGAACTCGTGGTCAATCTCGAGATACAATTTTCAGTACAATCAACAGAGATTGAACAAAAAATAAGGTTATCTGAAGAAACGCTGGTCTCGCGTGCTCCCGAGAGATCATTATAGATTTGCTGGACATCACTTGCCTAGCCAATCAAATTGCTTGTGGACAGTTATTCACTCAGTGGTGTTTCTAAACTTAACCAAACGTACTTATTTCTTACCCATGTTTGCGTACAAACAGAAGCCAGTTTGGTTCTTTGGCTCGCTTGATAAACTTCAGACAAGTGTGTTTGTGGTACTCTGCTATGGCTTCAAGAACGGTTGCCTGGTACTCAACTGCAACGAATGAAACACATAACGTGTTACGGAAGGAAAAGCTCATTTCGGAGTTGCTTAAGGACGTTCGCGCTTATTGTTTCTGCGCATCCTTACTGCGCACGCAAATTCACACCCCACGTCAACTGACTAAAATCTCACTGTCATATGAAAGGATGAGCTAGCACCAAGACTCGCTTTGAAAAAGAGGCTAAAGGCAATTCGGAAATTGCCTATTTTTGACGCATTTCATAAACCCACAGTAAGGAAACTAGTAGGGTTTTCACCGCATTGTTCACGGTGCAAGTGGTAAAGCGCGCCTGCTTTTCTTTCCTAGCTCCCAGGCCTCAAGATTCCGTCGCTGCCAATCTGCCGGTTTTGGGTTACGTAGCCCGAGCGAAAAAGTGTCTCGGACGCGTCACTGACCACTGGTAGCCGTATAGGAACCAGCTAGGCAACCCGGGGCTATACTTTCAAAAAATATGACATGGAAAAATTTAAAACTACATTTCTTTGGAGAGTCGAACCTCCACTAACAGCCACCTCCCTACACTGGCCACTTTTTTACGTCCAGGCGGACGGTCCATACATTCACTCTTGTTTTAACCTCTCCACAACGGCAACGGCCACCAAAGCGCGTTCCAAACTACCAAAATAACCTCTCCATAACGGCCCGTTAATCAACAACTGTCGAGCGGTGTATAAAAAAACCCATGTTGGGTTGTAAAAGGTCACGAAACTTGATCCGCTCCGTTTTATTGATATATTTTGATTGTTAGGTATTTTTGTGTTACTGTAAGAATTTCTTTGTAACATAGAATATTGTACTCCCTGAAAAAAACAACAGGCGTCGTGTTACACCCCCACCTCCTCTTGACGGCCACCTCTCGTCAACGGCCACTTTTCTCTGTCCCCAAAGTGGCTGTTGTGGAGGGGTTTGACTGTATTACTTTTTTTTAGCAACATATCTGCCGAAACGAAGGTAAGTCCAATCTCCAAGACGGTAAACGATTTATGTATTGATCGAC